AGGGGGAGGGGGCCAACAGAGAGAAGGGGAATGGGAGAAGGGGAAGGGGAATGGGTGAAGGGGAGGGGGAGATGGGGAGAGAAGGAAGGAGAGAGAGAAGGGGGCGAGAAGTTGTGAGGGTCATTCAGAGGCTCAGAATGAAGATCTTTCAGCAAATGAATCAGCTCCCTGGGCCTCTGGCCTTGGGAAGGGACAGGCACCAGAGTCCTTGGCGATCGCCGGATAAAAAAAAGGAGCAGGAGTGGGCACTTTGGCCCCTCCTGGAGCCTGCTATCACGTTCAATGGGACCGCGACTGATCATCCAACTCAGTCCCCAATTCCCCGCTTTCTCCTCCCACCCCACCCCACCAAACTCTTTAACCTCCTGAAGAACTACATCAAACCCCTTCTGGAAAACATTCAATGTTTTGACGCCGACCGCTTTCTGTGGGCAGGGAATTCCACAGGCTCACAACCCACCCCCCAAATTCTCTGGGTGAAAACATTTCTCCTCATCTCAGTCCTGAGCCCCTCCCGTCTCCTTTAGACTGTGACTCCCATGCTAAACAGGCAGGGAGGGGCTGTTCTCCTACTAGGTCTGTGACAAATGGAGACTGGTCTCCTCCACAACAAATTCCCAAAGTCCCTGCCACCTACAATAAACTGACAAGGGCTCTGACAGAGGAAGATACAAGGGAGGGGAGGCTCACTCGACCGCGGTCAGTTTTAAGGAAGGAAAGGCAAGAGAGAGAGAGGAAGAAGAGAGAGGAAGTGAGAGGAGAGAGAGAGAGAGAGAGAGAGGAAAAAAGAGGTAGGGAGAGAGAGAGGAATGGTGTGATACAGAATGAGAGTGAGACAGAGAGATCAATGAATCTCTACAGTGTGGAAACAGGCCCTTTGGCCTAACAAGTCCACACCGAATCTCAGAACATCCCACCCAGACCCATCCCCCTAATCTACATATCCCTGGACACTATGGGACAATTTGCCACGGCCAACTCACCCTAACCTGCACATCCCTGGGCACTATGGAACAATTTCCCACGGCCAATTCACCCTAACCTGCACATCCCTGGGCACTATGGAACAATTTCCCACGGCCAATTCACCCTAACCTGCATATCTTTGGACTATGGGAGGAAACCGGAGAACCCAGAGGAAACCCACGCAGACACGGGGAGAACCTGCAAACTCCACACAGACAGTCGCCCAAGGGTGGGATTGAACCCGGGTCCCTGGCGCCGTGAGGCAACAGTGCTAACCACTGAGTTACCGTGTCGCCCTATAGACAGCAACGGATAGGCAGAGAGAGAAACAGACAGACATACAGACAAAGAGAGAGACAGAGGAAGACAGTGAGACAGACAGAGATGACAGAGAAAGAGACAGAGAGACAGATAGAGAGAGACAGAGACAGACAGAGAAAGAGAGACAGACAGAGAGAGAGAGTTAGAGAGAGAGACAGAGGGAGAGAGAGACAGATAGACAGAGAAAAATGAAGACACAGAGAAACAGAGAACATGGGAACATGAGTAGGCCATTCAGTGATCTGTCTCCGATTCCATACGCCTGCCTTCAGCCCTTTATCACATTTGCTAAACAAACATTTCTCTCTCTCTCCAATTTTAAAATTAACAATGGATCCAGCATTCTCCGCTGTTTTCCAAACCTCTCCCACCCTCTGCGTGTGGAAATGCTTCCTAACATCTCTCCCAAATGCTCTGGCTCTAATTCTCAGACTCTGTCCCTCGCTCTAGAGTCATAGAGATGTACAGTGCAGAAACAGACCCTTTGGTCCAACCTGTCCGTGCTGATCCAAATATCCAAAATTAATCCAGTCCCATTTGCCAGCATTTGGCCCATATCCCTCTAAACCCTTCCTATCCATGTCTCCATCCAGATGCCTTTTAAATGTTTTAACTGTACCAGCCCCCACCCACTTCCTCTGGCAGCTCGTTCCATACACGCACCACCCTCTGCGTGAAAAAGTTGCCCCTCAGGTCCCTTTTAAATCATTCCCCTCTCACCTTAAACCTATGCCCCTCTAGTTTTGGACTCCCCCACCCCTGGGGGAAAAGACCTTGGCTATTCACTTTATCCATGCCCCTCATGATTTTATAAACCTCTATAAGGTCACCCCCTTGGCCTCTCCCTGTAGCTCAAACCCTCCAACATCCTTGTAAATCTTTTCTGAACCCTTTCACAACATCCTTCCTACAACAGGGAGACCAGAACTGAACGCAGTATTCCAAAAGTGGCCCTAACCAATGCCCTGTACAGCCGCAACATGACCCTCCCAACTCCTATACTCAACACACTGACCAATAAAAGCAAGCATACCAAACACCTTCTTCACCGCCCTGTCTACCTGCGACTCCACTTTCGAGCAACTACGAACAAGGAACTAGTTCTGGAATCCGCAACCACTGCAAGGGAGTTTATCCACATCTGCCCAGTCCTTTCCTGTTAATGTCTTGGAGATCAGATCACACCTTACATTTCTGAATTCTAGAGAAAACAGGCCTCATTTGTGTAATCTCTCCCTTTGGCGTAGGTGTCCAGGTGCCATTCTTGTAAACCCACGTTGCACTCCGTTCAAAGCCAATAAATCCTTTCGAAGGTGTGCTGGATATCCAGACGTGCTCTCCGTACTCCAGCTAGGGTCCAAACAGGCTTTCACATAAGGAGATAGCAAGAATTGCAGATGCTGGAGTCAGGGACGATATAGTGCAGAGCTGGAGGAACATAGCAGGCCAGGCAGTATCAGAGGGGCAGGAGAGCCAACGTTTTGGGTTTACACCCTTCATCAGGACTGGGGAGGGGGTAAGGGAGCTCAGAAATAAATGGGGAGGGAGGGGGAAAGGGGTAGGTGACTCTCCTGCCCCTCCGATGCTGCCTGACCTGCTGTGTTCCTCCAGCTCCACAGGGTTTTGTGTAAATGCAGATTAACTTCTGCATCCTTATACTCCAGCCGTCTAAATATAAAGGCCAGTTTTGTTATTTTCCACATCTGTCCGTAACATTTTAAAGATCTATACACCTAAGTCTCTTCAGTTGTCCATTGCATTTAACTCCATACAATACAGAAAGTTCCCTGATCTATCCCTTTCTGGTCCACAATGGATCATCTCACACTTTTTTTCTGATGAAGGGTCTAGCCCGAAACGTCAGCCTCTCTGCTCCTATGATGCTGCTTGGCCTGCTGTTTTCATCCAGCCCTGCACCTTGTTGTCTCGGATTCTCCAGCATCTGCAGTTCCTACTATCATCTCACACTTCCTTGCATTCATGTCCATCTGCCACAGTTAAAGCATTCACTTAGTCGATCAGAGACGGGGAGAGAAGAGGGAGCGACACACAGGGACAGAGAGAGAGAGAGAGAAAAGGTAGACGGAAGGAAAGACAGAGGAAGAGACAGGCATAAAGAAAGAGACGGAGAGAGCAAGACAGAGAGAGTGTCAGGGAGAGGGGGAGAAAATCAAGAGAGAGGAGGAGTGACAGGGAGAGAGAGGGAGATACACAGAGAGCAAGAGAGGGAGATACACAGAGAGCAAGAGAGAAAAAGAAAGAGACAGAAAGAATTAGACAGTGAGAGAAAGAGAGAGAGAGAGACAAGAGAGAGTGTGAGAGGTGGACAAAGAGGGAGGGGTGGAGAGCGAGAGAGCGAGAGGGGGAAAGAAACAGAGACAGAAAAAGAGTGGGTGAGAGAGATAGAGATAGAGAGAGAGAGAGAGAGACCGAGACAGAGAGAAAAACAGAGAGGACGAGTGAAAGAAAGAGAGAAAGAGTGAAACAGATAGACACAGAGAGAGGGTGACAAAGGAGTGGTGGGGGGAGAGAAAGAAAGTGAGATTGAGAGAGAGAAAGACAGAAGGTGGGAGAGAGAGAGTGAAAGATACACAGAGACAGAGAAAGAGAGGAGGGAGAGAGAAAGTGAGATAGAAAGAGACAGCGAGGCAGAAAGTGAGAGAGAGAGAGACAGGGAGGGTGTGAGGGAGAGAGAGAAGGCAAGATAGAAAGAGAGAGCAAGGCAATGAGAGAGAGAGACACAGACAGAAAGGGTGTGAGAGAGACAGAGACGGAGACAGAGAGGGTGTGTGAGAGAAACAGAGAGAGAGTCAGAGAGCGTGTGTGAGAGGGACAGACAGCGTGTGTGTGTGTGTGTGTGTGTGTGTGTGTACAGCGAGACAGAAACAGAGAGAGTGTGTGAGAGAGACAGAGAGAGAGTCAGAGA